GGCATCCTATGACCAAGAGAATGTCTAAGCAAGCAAGTGGAATAGTGGAAAAGGGAGAAAACCTCCTGGAGCTTCAAGTGTGCAAATACTTCTTTCACCTATGTGAAGAAGGCTGCAGGAACCTGTCCGAAAACATTGTCCAGGCTTTAGTTTGCAATCCAAAACTAGTCATCCAGCCTATGTAATTCACTTATAAATGGAACCAAGAGAAGCACTGGAGTAATACCCTACTACAGGACAACCTCACAGCAAAAGGATATCAATACTGTGCTATTTCCACCAAAAGCCACGATGTACCTGCAAACCCAGGGAGGAAATGTGACTACAACCATAGCTTCTTACCTTTCACAAGCAAATTGTTGCTTTGTCACACATCAGCTGCTCAGCTCTGCTTTCAGTACCACTGATGACATACAACAGACGACCCACCACAGAACCAGAGCTTTCAGCAGCTCCCAGAGACAGGCCCTGAGGACAACATCCCTCATGTGCCGAATTCAACTAACCCCATTAACAATTGCAGGATGTTGAATGAGGTCATTTCTGCAAGCATCAGAAGTTCACCCTGTCCTCTCATTACCAGGAACAATGACTAGCAAAGGGCCAGCCAAGAAGAGATTTTTCCATAGATGCAAACTCTTGGGCTTAGCTTCAGATCAACAGGCTAAAAAAGACGTTTCAACTAGTCATTTATAAACCGTTCAGCCACAAAGACGGGGATGCAGCAAGGCCAAATGTTGGAATGGGGATTTCTTTTCCTTGTATTAATTGTCCATGAAAAGCTGGTGATAGATGAACATGATATTAGAAGTCTAAATGCTTTGAGAACCACAGGCTGTTCTCTGAGAAAAGGAAAACAGTCTTCAACAAGTGACAGGGGTAGTTTGTACCCAGAAGGGCTCCAATGTCATACAGTGGCTGTATAATTTGCCCCCTTGGGCTAAGGCATGGCTATGGCATTGCCACCTCAGGGATACAGATGCTAAGTTTAATGCAGGCTTCCTGTGTTAGCTGTTACAGCAACATGGCATGAGGAAAACATCAGAACAGAGTGGTTTGGGCATAGAAAAAACACAACTGTGGATGCTGCCATCCCTTCTTTTGACCTAAGAGGCAGGTAATGAAAGCTGTGTCTTCTAAGATTTGTTTCTCACCTCTCACCTTTCAGCTACTCACAGAACAACACTGAGTTATCCAGCTCCAGGAATCACATCTATTACAACTGCAAATGCAGCACAAAGCTCGTCTCTGCTATGGCACAGTTGCAGAAACAAGGCACCTTCAGTACTGCAATGACCTACACAGAGGAAAAGCAGCCAAGAAACAGTGCAAGTATGTACACTGGAGGTGTGGGAAGCACCATGCCTAACCTTTCTCTTCCATGTAACAGGAGGACAACAAGAGACAGGCCAAGGGGAATGGCTTTAAACTGAAGGAGGGTAGATTGAAATGAGCCCTTAGGCAGAAGCTCTTCCCTGTGAGGGTGCTGAGGCGCTGGCACAGGGTGCCCAGAGAAGCTGTGGCTGCCCCATCCCTGGCAGTGCTCAAGGCCAGGTTGGACACAGGGGCTTGGAGCAAGCTGCTCCAGTGGAAGGGGTCCCTGCCCGTGGCAGGGGTTGGAGCTGGAGGAGCTTTAAGGTCCCTTCCAATCCATTGCATGAGTCACACACGAGTCAGCTCTGCCTTAGGAGTAGAGTTGTCTCTTATTTCAGCTCGACTGTGAAAGACTTGCATTACATTAACACTCCTCAAGCTGTACAAATACAGAAATCCCTAAAGAAATATCAGTTATCCCAGTACGGTAGCATAGGGGAAGCATTCTCAAGTAGTGTCATAGATAAATCCTTTAGCTAACTTGTCTGGATAATTACGTGCTTGAAAATGTAGTAGGTTTTGTGGACCTTGATAGTGATAGTTTATTTCTACCAATGGGTTTTGGACATAATAAGGGCTTAAATTGTCTCAAGAGTATGTACTGGTAGAACGGATAGTGCATTGATAACATACCGAGTTTTCAGACCTGAAAGAGCTTCATATGCTTAATACCACTTAATCTATGAATTTTCTAGGGGCATGTATGTGATGGGGATTTTACTGACACTGGGCTTCAGGAGCTATTGGCTTCTGGTACTTGCACTGCCCTGTGCATGCTTTGTTTTTAGTGCTCTGTCTTTATAAGCTCCTCTGCATGCGATTGCTGCCATATGTTATGCTTGTCATAGAATCCCAGACTGGTTTGTGTTGGAAGGGACCTTAAAGCTCCTCCAGCTCCAACCCCTGCCACGGGCAGGGACCCCTTCCACTGGAGCAGCTTGCTCCAAGCCCCTGTGTCCAACCTGGCCTTGAACACTGCCAGGGATGGGGCAGCCACAGCTTCTCTGGGCACCCTGTGCCAGCGCCTCAGCACCCTCACAGGGAAGAGCTTCTGCCTAAGAGCTCAGCTCAGTCTCCCCTTGGGCAGGTTCAAGCCATTCCCCTTGGCCTGTCCCTACAGGCCCTTGTGTGAAGCTACTTTCACCTGGATGACATAAGAATAATCTTTCCTTCGACCCCATATACTCCCATGTTTTTTTAAATCCTTTTTCCCTATCCATTCAGTGGAAATGCAGGGTTCCAGGGATTCCAGCTGGCCTTTCCCTTACAGGTATGTACTTCTTTCTCTTTAAGGCCCAAAAGGATATAAATCAGGGCTCCTTTTACCAATATCCATTGCTTCACTGAATCCTTACCTGAAAAACTCCATAATGCTTTAAGCATTTGGATAATGTGTCATCTTCCCTGGGATGCATTCACAACCACTCCAGTGTGTCTCTGTACACTGCCTCATCTGCAATTTACAGGGAACTGGATGATGCAATAAGTTCCTAAGAAAGCCATATAAGTAAAATAAAGCTGCATTTCAGATGAGGATCAGAGCAGTAAACTCATCATAAGCCAGAGCTGAAGCGGTGATTTCTATCAGCACCCAGCACCACAAATCATCTGTGCTTGACGCATTACTTTAAGGGGTAAAAGTAGTTTAGAAGCTGTACCCTTTGCACCTGAAGGCTTTAAGATAGTTTGGAAATCCACATATAGACTGGCATGTACAACCTCCGGGACTGCCTGCAGAACATAATGCATTTATTTATGCACTCCCTTTTCTCCAAGATCAAATTCACTACCGATGTGCGAAGGAAAGGGACCTGCACACACTGAAACATCTGGTGTTAGAAATAATTGAAGTTTGGCTGCTTTTCTGTGCCTTCTGTTAAGTTGGAAGCAAGAACTACAGGCACTAGTGACGGCACTGAGTAACTAATGACCCAGAGCTGTTTGCAAATAGGGATGATCTTTTCCTCAAGAACAAGTTGAAAAGGTTAAGTAAAGGAGGGAACAGAGCTCCTCAGGCACACAAAGTAGCATGAGCAAATAAAGAATTATCTTTAAAAGCTGAAAACCTTCCCAAAAACGTTTATATTACTGTTACCAATAATAATGATGATGATAATGATAGTAACAATAGAGATATTCCTCCCTCAACAAGGTCTTCTTGGTGTAGGCTGCCTATGTGGAAATCACTGGAGAAGTCAGGCATCTCAAGTCTCTCTCTAACCCTTTGGAGAAAGAATACTTGCTGGAACAGCTGAAACCCCTTAAACCCCTTATGCCACTAAGGAAGGAGGAAAATAAAACATTAGCATGTGATACTGAGGATCAGCCTGGAATACTTTTCATTTGGCTCCCTTCAGCATCTGCCTCCTATGTTGCCGCTTTTGTAGGCATTTATGCTATTTAGGAAGTTGGCTCCGAGGTGGATCTGCAGTATCCAAGTTTCTCTTGTAGGCATTTTGGGAAAGCTGCTTTCTCCCTGTGTGCTTTTGCAGCACCAGGCATCTCGTACAACTGGAACTACTCACAAGTAGGACATGGCACAGGCACTGTATCAGATCTCGAGTCCATAAACATCACAGTATTGGAAACAAAAAAATCACTCAAGTTACTTCAAGCGTCTTCCAAACTCTACCACCATCTGTGGGAAGGAGTCAATATTTGAGACTAGTTCAGTTCCTACACTTCAAACAGCACAGGGTAAAAGCTTTACATAGAGAAGCTCACATATTTCTGCATGACACCCAAAGAAACCCCAGTCATAGGTGTCACAAACGCTTATAGACGCATCAAGTGGTAATGTGACATTGGAAGCTTTGGGTAAACTCATCCCTGTCAACAAATGTAAAGAGATGTATGCAGACACCATAGAAAATGTAACTGGAAACACAATAGCAGGTGAAATGCACCCTGGCTCTCACTCTTATGAGATCTTTCTACACTTGTCAGCTTTTACTTTCAGCACCCTGGAAAAGCACTTGGTGCTGGCAGCAAGCTGCCACCTTACAACACACCGATTCTCTGCATCGTTCTGAACCCGCTGAACAGGAGGTACTTGTTGACCTACACTTCATTGTGAGGAATGATTCCTCCTCTCAAGCAGTTAAGCGTGACAGGACCTCCACTTCTACCTTTGGCATGAAACACTTGAAGAGTCCTGAAGCAAGAGTGTCACCTGAACCTAACCCACTTACACAATTTCCATGTCCTTCAGGGAGCTGGTTTGTGAGCAGGGTTTTCCTCTAGAAAAGCCAAAAGGAAGATGAGTCAACATACCACAGTTACAAACACACCCCCTAGAAGACACCAGTTTGTGCAGTAACACACTGTTTGAAGGGAGATCCCGTATCTCTCCTCATGTCTCTAGGGAATACTGAGACAAGCTACAGGAATACTAGTGACATACAAAATATGCCAAGTACTATGTTGCTTTATTCTCATTTATCAAATCTCCAGAGGCCTTAACATCTCTCAGCATTTTAATCCTATTTTTAAGCACACATAACTATCAATTTACATCAAGCAAAGTCTTTCCAACAGTTCACTCTAACTGTCCTCCTGCACTGAATAGTTGGGGCTGTTCAGCCTGGAGAAGAGAAGCTGCGTGGGGACCTCAGAGCAGCTTCCAGTGTCTGAAAGGGGCTACAGGGATGTTGCAGAGGGACTACTCATCAGGGACTGTAGTGACAGGACAAGGGGTGATGGGTTCGAACTGAAACAGGGGAAGTTCAGGTTAGATGTAAGAAAGAAGTTCTTTACTGTGAGGGTGGCGAGGCACTGGAATGGGCTGCCCAAAGAAGTTGTGAATGCTCCATCCCTTGCAGCATTCAAGGCCAGGTTGGACAGAGCCTTGGGTTACATGGTCTAGGGTGAGGCTTCCCTGCCTATGGTAGGGGTTGGAACTGGGACAATCTTTCCAACCCCAAACCATTCCATGATTCTATGAATTTCACTAAATTAGACTTCAAGACAGGAAGTTGCTGCTTGGGAACTCAAAATGTTAAAAAGACAACAAAACACATACATTAAGTTTCTCTATTCGTTGACACCGGCCTGGGATCAAAATGCCCAAGGAATGACAAGGTTTGTTTTCTCAAAAGCTGTTTATTCCCAAATCCTGATCTACCACCACTAACAAACCCTGGAGAGAACATTCCACTTGCTTCATTGTAAAAACCCTTAAAGGCTCTTAGACTAAAGAAGCTTTGGCTGTGCCTCATGCCAACTGATCCACACAACTGCTGAGCACTTGAGAACCCCACAGAGGGCGAAGGTGTGGGTCCAGCTGAAAGGTCATGAGCTGCTCCATAGCGTAGCTCCTTAGAAAGATGCAATCTTGGAGAAGAAGGAGGATTCAACCGTGACTGGAGGAGCTTTGCCAGATCCATACGCTGAAGGGACGGTAGGAAGTTCTCATTCAGGTCTCTTTGTCCTTTATGGTACGTACACTGGAGGTTCAGCCCAACACTGCAAGCAAGTCCTCTACACCCCCTGAGGACTCTTAAGTTATCAGCTACTCCAACAGTGCTGCGAGCATCTGTTCCTGACATAAAAGAGCTCTGGAGAATAAGCTTTGGTAGTCTAACTGTTAACTCCAGGAGACAAAGAGCCATTTCTACAGCTCGCTGGCAAATTCAGAACAACAACAGCAGCAGAGGTTGTTGAAAAGGTCACACAAGCTTCTCAAAACACACTGCAACAGAAGCTCCCAGCACCTTTATCCCAAAAGCGTTGCTGTGTGTTACCTCCATGAAAACACTGGGTAAAATGCAACTTTCTCCATATCCTGCTCTTGTCCAAGCTTGATTGAGTGGCTGACTGAACCACAGCCACGATGGATTAGAACCAAAGAGCCAGAAGCAGAACCAGCACGAGAAAACATAAAAACAAGACTAAGTTCTACTGGAATCCACTCTGAATAGTTTTTCAAATTCCATGTCAACAGACATTTCCTTTGAGCAAATTGTTTGTGAGCAGTCGACGTCCCCATCAGAGAAACATCTGGAGTCTTTGTTTCTGAATTTACTTCTCAACGTTTGAGATTGACCTTTTCCATTTCTACATCAGGTTTTATCCAGACCTCTTCAGAAAGATGGGAAAAAAATCACCCACTTGCTGGTTTGCAAGTACAGAATCATAGAACCATAGAATCAAACAGGTTGGAAAAGATCTTTTGGATCATCCAGTCCAACCGTTCCCAGCACTGCCAAGACCACCACTGACCCATGGCACTGAGGCCTCGTCTCCACAGTGTGTGAACACTTGCAGGGACAGTGCCTGCAGCCCTGCCCTGGGCAGCCTGTTCCAATGCCTGAGCACCCTCTGGGGCAGGAATTGCTCCTCAGCTCCATCTAAACCTGCCCTGGTGCAGCTTGAGGCCGTTTCCTCTTGTCCCATCCCTTGTTCCTTGGGAGCAGAGCCCAGCCCCTCCTGGCTCCATCCTCCTGTCAGGCAGCTGGAGATTGCCATCAGGTCCCCCCTTCAGTTACCACCACCCTTCTCCTTCTGAACTCCACTGCAGACTACATCCATGCAGAAAGTCCTCCTAGGTCTCCATTTCCAAAGTCACACCGTTTCTTTGCACTCTTCTCCACTAAGTAGGTCTCTCCTTCAAAACTGCCCATATATGCAACTCATTCTCCCTATTTTTTCCAATTCCCCTTTCTTGCTTCTTCTCAGCTCAAAGCCCTTCCCATTTCTCATTGTCATTTCCTGACATTCCATTGCACTTTCTATTTTTTTTCCTCCAAAAGCTCTGTATTGCCACTTCATTGTAACAACCCAACTCTTCTACTGCAGCCCTCCTTCGCATATTCCTTCTTTCTCCCATCCCAGTGTTACCCTGCTAAAACCAGATAGTAAGAACCCCAAGAGCAAACATACCCTGCTCCTGGCACTCCTGATGCCTCACATCCCAGCCAGGTCTCCCAAGCTTTACAGAAGCCCTACTGGATGTGTCAGGATCCCAGCAAGAAAGGAAAATCAATCCTTTAAACACTAGAACTACCACAGTGGTTTGTGTGGGAAGAAAACGTGGTAACTCCTCTTTGACAGCAGGCCCTATTTCACTGTGTCCTGGGCCAGACAAATGTACACACTAAGGGGCTATGGAGCAAGAAGTGAAAGAAGAGACAATTTGTTGTACCACCTTTTCTGTACCAGCTCTTCATTTTCCCAATCTCCTTATAGAGGCAGGTGAAGGAAAGGAAGGTCTAGCTGTTTACCACACAGTTGAGAAAAGGGATGGGTCCCAATTTCCACTTGCTACTCTGTCACACACACACCCCTCCTTATCTTAAAAACAGGTTACCTGCTGAGTAAACAGTGAGGAAAACAGGGAAACCAATGATTCAAGACAAACAAGGTCAACACAACAGGGACTGCTGCCCTGAAGACTAAAATCACCTTCAGCATCGTATCATTAAGCACAAGAAGGTGTCCCTGCCCGTGGCAGGGGGTTGAAACTGGATGAGCTTTAAGGTCCTTTCCAATCCAAGCCATTCTATGAATGATGAAAGAACTAAGAGTAAAATGATGAAGGAACTAAGAGTAAAAAAACAACTCAAAATGAGACTAAAACCAACTTACAAAACTATGAAATGTAAGGACAATTTTACCTTCATACAGCTCTATTATGATGGAAACTGGAACGTCAGTTCAGTTTTGTTACTGCCCCTTTCGTAAAGGATGTCAGATCAGTAAGTGCATGACACACACACAGAGGTTTGAAGGCTAAAGGAAGTGCCTTACTGGGAAACTTTTTCATCTCAGGCTATGTGTCCTACTTGATTACAACCTCTAACCACCTTTGCCAGGAAAAAATGGCAATACTTAAGTGTTATTTAACCTGGGACAGAAGCTCATGAATCGGTTGTGATAAGAAACTGGAAAAATACAAGTGGGAAACAAGGTGGTTTTAGACTATTCAAGTAGTTGAGGAAATCAGGTGCTGAATTTGTCACAGAGTGGTGGAATCTCCAACTTCTCATACCTTCAGGAAGAGGCTGCATGAAGTTCCTGAAGTTATGCACTTGAAGTAGGAACTCCAAACACAATAACCACATCGAACTTTAACGTTTCACTGTGTGCAGCAAAATGAATTACACAAGCCAAAGGTCTTGGACCTTCTTTTTGTTACCTCCTCTAACCCAAGCTACGTTCATTTCAGAGGGCTCATACGTCAAACACTGAGCAAAACAGGCCAAGGCAAACGGCTCAAATGAATACCACAAAAGCTCTTGGGATTGCGTGGCCTCTGGCAGCTACTCTAGAGACTTCCAGCTGTTGGTTGTCCATTTCTCCTCCTTTTTGACAGAAAATTAAAGAAAAGAAATAAGCAATTTGTTTCTGAAGCTCAACACCAGCATCAAGTCTGAAATGTTTATCAGCAAGTCTGTGTGTTCAGTCCCCACCAAATTATTTACCTCATGTTCTACTCAGGGAAGTGATTCTTGGCCAATCAACCTATTCTTGAGAAATAAATCTTCCCCCTTCCAGGCATCTCAACACTTCACATTCATATTTTCCCTGTGTCAGCATTTCAGAAGCCTTCAGAACTGAAGGGTCTGTATTCTGTGGCTCTCACTGCATGTTACACATCAATACAAGCCCTTCAAGCACAGCATTTTCCTGTGCAATGATTCACATATTAACAACAGGATGCTGGCAGAAGTTACCTCTTTCTCAGTATCCCTGGATATACAGGTCCACTGGTTTTCCTTCACACTGTATGCCCAGAAGTCGGCCAGATCCTGCGTTCCATCCCAGCCACCAAACAAATAGACAGTTTCTGGAAACAAAAAGAAAGAACATGTTAATTTTATTGGTAAAAGATGTCCCAGGTGTTTGGGAGGTATTGGCCTGTTTAAACACAAACAGAAGAGAAACCGAAACTGATTCTTTGAATGGAACCAGTCACCAGGACAAAGAAATCTGGTTTGGTTTAGTAAAGGAAGCTGTTGCCAGCCAATTCTCAAGGAGTCATTTGCTGCTTCAACATTTACAATCAAACCCACAGCCTCCTGATAGTGGTAGTGATGCGTGGATAGACTCCACAACTCATTAAAGTTGTAAAGTAGGTATGCTTTTATTCAGCACTGAGGCACATGGGGGACAGCTCCTCCAAAAGCAAGCGCACCTCAACGTCGTTTCCCCTTTACATTTATCCTCTAAAGTTATATATATGCATGAGGTTGCACAACATGCCTATACATATTCATGTCCCATCCCCACTTCGTATTATAATGAGCTAAGAAGTCCTTTGCGCCCACGCAGTGCCTCCTGGTGGTCGTGGGCGAGGGTCTCAAGATGAAGTAAAGGAGTCTTCCTCGAGCCTGAACTGCAGTTCTTACGCATGCTCCCTGGAGGCTTGGTCACTGCCCAAAGCCCAGAGCCAATTTCAGCCAGCCTAGGTGCCCAAACAACGGGAATCAAGTCATGGTCCCTACTTCTTAACAACAGCTATATTGTGTGCAGTTCTGGTGTCCTCAACATAAAAAGGACATGGAGCTGTTGGAACAAGTCCAGAGGAGGCCACAAGAATGATCAGGGACTGGAGCACCTCCCGTATGAAGACAGGCTGAGAAAGTTGGGGCTGTTCAGCCTGGAGAAGAGAAGGCTGCGTGGAGACCTCAGAGCAGCCTTCCAGTGTCTGAAGGGGACCTATAGGGATGCTGGGGATGGACTCTTCATTAGGGACTGTAGTGATAGGACAAGGGGTAATGGGTTAAAACTTAAATGGGGAAGTTCAGATTGGATATAAGGAGGGAGTTGTTTACTGTTAGGGTGGTGAAGCACTGGAATGGGTTGTCCAGGGAGGTTGTGAATGCTCCATCCCTGGCAGTGTTCAAGACCAGGTTGGATGAGGCCTTGGGCGATATGGTTTAGAGTGAGGTGTCCCTGCCCATGGCAGGGGGGGTGGAACTTGATGATCTTAAGGTTCTTTCCAACCCTCACAATTCTATGGTTCTATGATTCTATATCCTTATATCTTGTCCTAGCATAATCATGAATAAGCAATGATATTGTTAAGAGAGCAGCTTGATTTACCCCCTTGTACACTGCAAGTACGATAAGCATGAGCAAGCAGTAACATTGTTAAGCAAGTGGCTTAACCCTAACCACCCTGTACATTTGTTAACATTAACAGAGCAATAGTTAACATTTTGGATACTGTGCATTGCAGTCTATCAATGATATCTCAGCTTGCACCCAGTTTGGTGCAAGATCTGTACCGTAGAAACACTTCAGAGAGAGCAGCAGCAAAGCTTTCTGTTTAGTCCATCCCTCAGAAAGAAAAACTCACTTCAGCTATGAAGTCCTCTTCAAGGGAAATATATGCCTTGCCTAAAGTAACTTACCTGATGCCACAAAAGCAAGGAAGAACAGTTAGAGATTTAAGTCTGGCCTATCTTCAGAGCCTGTCACCTTAAACCCACAACTGTGTTGTGCACAGCAAGTTCTAAGGCTTCTCAGAATCACTGATAAAACCAGATGAAACCTCTGAACACGGGAATCATTTAAGGAAGGAGTCACTGTCCTGACATGGAGAAATAACTAAAGCTGCTCCCATTACAGAAACATCACTATCTGGTCTCAAATGCTAAAAATACTTGGTTTTTAGACTGCTTTTAAACACAACACAAAGCCACGTCCAAGAAGAACAAGCCACTGAAGACTTGCAGAGCTTTGAAAAACTCCCTTTAAAATCCACAAACCACTTCCATTTGGGAGGTAACAGCCAATTTTTAATCCAACCCCAATTAAAGAGCAGAGTTAGAAGCATGAGTATAAAATGGGAATAGTCCCTGACCCTTACCTACCATCAGGATAGTGGTCATCACCATGGAAAGGTTACCCTGGTTCATTAACTTTAATTACCCTTCCTCCTGGACTCAGGGCTCCCAGTGTTCCCTGCAAAGAGCAGGTCCCTTTGTGCACATAAATTCTCACAGCTCACAAAACCCACATTACCACAACAGCTTCATTGATAGCGGGGGAAAAGAAAGGATTTGGCACTAAGCGAAGTATCCTACTGGGGCCTTGCCAAACTTCATGCCTGCCTGTGAAGGCTTTGTTGTCTCACATGAAATTTAATAGCAAACCTGAATGAATCTGATGAAAACTCTCGGGTTTGAAAGTTACCTAAAGGGAGCTGACAGAATTCAGGAGCATGGAAGTGCTGAAAGAGGAGCACAAAACTACGGCAAGCACAAACCACGAGCATCCCTGGAGCCTGACAGCAACAGCGGTAACACGAGTGCCATGAACAGCGTGCCAAACTTGGGTTTTGGCCTGATGGAAAACTGTAGCTCAGATGAAAGACAAGCTCCATCAGGACCCACACTCAAAATGACTCATTTTTCACTCTTATGATGCAGTAACAGAACAACATATGTATTTTTATAAGAGGGTTTGTGGTTCTAAAGGCACATTTCTTAGTGCACAAATGCATCTCTTGATCATGTCAAGAAAATCATTTTTCATAGGGTTTAAAGTTGCAATTGTTCTCCCGCAGCATAAGGAAAATAGTTTGGTGACTTTTTGGGTTTGGGGGGTTTTTGTTTTGTTTTGAAGTCAAACTTCACTTTTCTCCCCAACCAGTATCACACACTGTGCTCAGATTTTATGGGGAGGGTTTGCCTTCAAGAAGCCTGGAGAGGGGCTTGGGACAAGGGCCTGTAGGGACAGGCCAAGGGGAATGGCTTGAACTTGCCAGAGGGGAGACTGAGCTGAGCTCTTAGGCAGAAGCTCTTCCCTGTGAGGGTGCTGAGGCGCTGGCACAGGGTGCCCAGAGAAGCTGTGGCTGCCCCATCCCTGGCAGTGCTCAAGGCCAGGTTGGACACAGGGGCTTGGAGCAAGGTGCTCCAGTGGAAGGTGTCCCTGCCCGTGGCAGGGGTTGGAGCAGGGTGAGTTTTAAGGTCCCTTCCAACACAAACCAGTCTGGGATTCCACGATGATTCTAGGGTTATTTTTCACCCCGCATGCAGAGATCCAATGAGACAGACCCACAGTACATGACCAGTGCTCCCAGGCATTGTCACCTAAACAACATACCAGCAAATACCCAAAGATGCAGGGAAGAGACCACAGGAGGCAGCAGGAGGAGAGCACAACAGTCTCACATCAACAGAACTATTTCTACTTCAGTAGCACTGGGGAACTGAAGATGCAAGCAGGGCATCTTGCTCTGGCAGAGGGAAGGATTCTTTCTCTGTATCCCAGCAATACTTAACACAGCAATATCGATGCTGCTTTATTAAAGCAAACCTCTATTCTGCTTTAGGGACAGAGCAGAAGGATTTTCAATCCTACCTGCAAGGCAACAAGAAAAACATGAAAGTGGTTATATTTACCCACAGCTTTTACCAGCTACATTTAGGAACTCCAATTCCTCCTCCAGCATCTTAACCTTATCTCTTCTACATTTATTTCTGAATACAAATTCAACACTTTGAATTAAAGATGCTCTGTGACTATTTCTAAACTGCTTGCTCAGCCTAAAATGTATCTATAATGTCCGAATTCTTTTCTTCCTTTACTCTCTAGAAGCCCAGAAGGTGCAAGAGCATTCGTCACATTATTAGAGAATTTATGTTCCCCAAAATTAACCTATTTCCTGTCAACCTCTCCTTAACTTTTACTCTTCAGAACAGAACACAAAGCAGCCTTCTCCAATCCCTGTTAAATACCAAAACCCTGGAGGAGTTTCAGTCCAGGTTCACGTGTTCCCAAGTCAGCTTTTCTGACTCCTTTTAACTCCATCTTCTCCACATGGTGGGATCCTTGGTGGGATTCTGGTTCAGTGGATGTCTCTCATCTAATGGGTGTTCCATGGCAAACTGCTGAAGCCAGGCTGATAAGAGATGATCGATATGACTGAGCACCCATGGTTTTACCTCCTAATAGATAGGTACAATGAAGACATTCTAATCCTAGTGGCGTATTTAACCTTGTCTATGAAAGAACTGAGGAACTAAAACACTTCTGCAAGTCACCCAGCTCATCAGTCATCTCCCAAACCCCTCACAGTAGAGCTAAACTACAGCAACAGACCAGGGTGCATGGAAAGTATGCAGGTACACTTTCAGTATCTCCAAAGATGGGTATTTCAGGCCCTGGATCCCTGCTCCAATGGCTGATTATTCTTCCTAATATCTAAGCAGAATTTATCTTGCTGCAAGGAATCCATTGCCTTTCATCCTATTCCTCTTCACCACCCAAAACGAGCCCAGCCATTCTTCATGCTCTCCCACCAGCTAGTTGAAGACAGCTCTGAGCTCCTCCCATGGGTACAGGGAGGAGGGCTTTTCTTCTACAGGCTGAACAAAACCACTTCCAAAGCATCTCTCCATACATGACATCTCCACTCCAGCCCCTGCCTACCTTGGTGGCCCTTCACTGGGCTCACCTTCAGATTGGCACCATCCTTATCGTACCAGAGAGCCCAAACTGAGCACAGCACTCCAAATGTTCCTCTGTTTCATACCTGAAGCCACATTAATCCCTCTTCTTTATCTCTGGGTGCACTTCCACTAATGCAGCCTAGGAGGAAGTTGGCCTTCATTGCTACAAGGACGCTGCTGACGCACATGGAGCTATCTCCCACCTTGCAAATCCTCTTTCCACGCAGTCAGGTCCCAGCCCACACTATTGCCCAAAGGTACTGCCTCCCACTTTCAGTCTCCTACAAGCCCAAGCTTCAAGGCCAGGGTGGACAGGGCCTGGAGCAACCTGCTCTAGTGGAAGTTGTCCCTGCTTGTGGGGTAAGGGTTTGAAACTGGAAGAGCTTTAAGATTCATCTCAACACCAACCAGGCTGGGATTCCAGAACATAAGGTGCACTTCTAGGGTGGGATTGTCCTACTATGTAGGTGCAAGAGATCTCAAAAGCCTTCTGCAGAAGGACATCATTTCCCCATGTAGTAACCACAGATTCAGTTATCCGCAAGCAGCATCAGCCACTTTCTAAGGAGCACTTAGAACACAACTATAAAGCCAGACCTTAAATGTTAAGGTATCACACCAGAGTTCAGTGTAGATGGTGGCTGGATATAAGCTTTTTCAGGCATACACTCTTCTCAAATGTGAGAGCACCATGAAGTTGAGTAACCTCTGGGATTCAGCAGCTGTTTGTGTTTCAGAGCTCAGAAGCCATCTGTGTTTTGTTTCACAGATCTCTTCATCTTGTACACAAGTCCTGTCTTTAAGTATCTTACGGATAACAGTGTTTTTTCCTCAGGCAAAACAGCATCCTTCATGTCTGCTGCTTTCATCTTTCCATGCTGCTTATGAGCCAGGCTCGTCATTTCCACAGTGTTGCTGGCATACACTGTGGGCACACTGTGCCCACTGCTCTGCGTCTCCCACTGCTCCCAACTTAGATTTGTTGGCACTTATCTAATAGAATGAACTAAGCACAATTCCTTGCTGTGAAAGGAAAAGCAAAAGGAAGTACAACCAAAATGACAGAGGAGCTTCACATCAGTGAGTGAACAGAGGTAACATCAATACAGACCATTTCACGGATGTTTTCCTTCAAAACATGTTTCTCTTTCCAAAGAGAAGAGAAATGCACAGAAAGTCGTCCTGGTTTCTTAGCTGGTATTTATGGGTTCAAACTGAAACAGGGCAAGCTCATGTTGGATATAAGGAAGAAGTATCTGCCCTGTAAGAGCAGAGAAGACCAATTCCACCTTAACTATGGAATTATAAAACCAAACCTCTGCAACACAGTACACACATTCCTCTAAAGTACTGACATTATTCCTTAGAACTGGAATTTGGCAATCCCTATTCCCACTTTCTTCCAAAATAAGCATTAGCATTTCAAAATGTATGCACATCTCAATTATAAAGGTCTGAGAGGGCACAATCAAAGTGGTATTAATCAAGGTACCAGTACTAGATGCCTGCATCCTCATCCAAAACTGCATTAGGCCTTAATGCACCAGGGAACACAGTATTACACACAAGCCAACATTTACTGCCAGACTATTTCACCAGAGCCTACATAAACAGCAGTGTAGGTTTCCATGACTGACATTCAGCACACTTAACACAGTGTGTTGCTGCGTAGTTTGGGCTTAGTTTCACTTTTGGTTTAATCCATGGGTTGTGACCAGGAAAATGCTTCCCTTTCCTTGCAGAAAAGGGCAGAAAACTCTCCAAATGAACAACCACATAAAGACACGCACCTTGCAGGAAAAAAAAGCAGAAACAACATAAAGCTTCTGTCTTCATTTACAGCTAAAGCTTTAAAGTACATAACAGTTGTTTCCAACTATAACCAGGAATGCCTCTTGGTAAATGTTTCTGTATAAGCATCCCAAAATTATGCCGTCAGCATCATTCCAGTCTCAGTGTTAATACGATTAAAAGCATGGAAGACACTGTACCAGTACCTCCTTTTTCTTTAATACAGAAACATCTCAAGCTGCATTCACAGTTCTGTATCCCAAAATGCCCAATACGTTCATTCCAAACTGCTTTAAGAGTTTTCCAAAGCACAAAGATGACTACACTTATTCTTAAGACAGTCGCAGCAGGTATCAAGGGTGCGAACATCAGATGGAACTGAGCCACGGCACAAGTTACTTGCTGGCAGCAGAGATCCCAGAATTGCTCTTGTAGTTACTTTAGCCTACCCTAACTGGAAGACACAGCATACTAAAAGGCAGTTTAGATGCAGTTAAGCTACATTCTACGTGAAACCTAGAGACAGAGTCTCAGTAATGCACTATCAGTAACTTCAGATCTATCTCAACTGCTACCAACACGTATCCTTCATCCTAACACTGAACCATGTGCATCCAGCAGGCTCACTACCATCACCCAACTTACTTGTTTTGAATAAGTTCAAAATGAACTTAGATTCCTGTAGTGAGCAATAACTGATTGATATTTCCTTGAGGTTTATCAAAAAGCAAAGCTGTGCATAGTTCAGTTATAGCTACAGCAGGTCTTCACATCAGAGAATACCATTTGCTTCCAACACCTATTCTGTGCGATATGAAATTTCAGAACCTCCTTATATGTATGATTTTGGTGTTCCACTTCATTTCCAAGCAACTGAAGAAGAAAATATTCATGTTTGAAAAGGACCTAACCCCTCTAACCCAAAGCACAAAGTGAGCGCTCTCTAGTTCAGCTACCAAAGACTTCTGCTGAGTTGAAAGAAACAACTCAAGCGTGTGGGTGCCAGTATCCCCACCTCCACCTCCTGCAGTCCTGATCCAGTTCTGAGGCAGCAGCACAAGAGGGACGTGGAGCTGTTGGAGCGAGTGCAGAGGAGGCCATGGAGATGCTGCGAGGGCTGGAGCAGCTCTGCTCCGGAGCCAGGCTGAGAGAGCTGGGCTGGGGCAGCTTGGAGGAGAGAAGGCTCCTGAAGGGGAGACCTTAGAGCAGCTCCAGTGCCTAAAGGGGCTGCAGGAAAGCTGGAGAGGGGCTTGGGACAAGGGCCTGTAGGGACAGGCCAAGGGGAATGGCTTGAGCCTGCCCGAGGGGAGACTGAGCTGAGCTCTTAGGCAGAAGCTCTTCCCTGTGAGGGTGCTGAGGCGCTGGCACAGGGTGCCCAGAGAAGCTGTGGCTGCCCCATCCCTGGCAGTGCTCAAGGCCAGGTTGGACACAGGGGCTTGGAGCAAGCTGCTCCAGTGGAAGGGGTCCCTGCCTGTGGCAGGGGTTGGAACTGGAGGAGCTTTAAGGTCCCTTCCAACCCAAACCCTCCTGTGATTCTGTAAGGAAGGGAGGATGTCTTTGAAGGATAAAGTACTCCACTGCTCTTTTTTTCCATTGACATCAGATCCGTTACAGGTTAACCAGCTTCACAGCTCCAGTCTGTAAAACACATCCTGACACAACCGGCTGAATTCCCACAGTCTCTCATTAAACACTCCCTATGT